CCCCAAAACCCCAAAACCCCAAAACCCCGAAGGATGGATTTAATTTCTACTTCAAGTAAATCAGAATTAATTATCTATTCAAATTAAAGTTTGCTATCTGGCATTATCAATCAGTTATTTCATCATAGTAGTTTTGTCAATCAATGAATCGTATCTAACTTGTTTAGATTTTAGTATTCCAGGTAATTTACCTTGATCTTTATTTAATTAATCAGCAAAAGCAGATTTATTCAGAGGTTTAACATTCACTTAATCGATAGATGAGAATTTTTAAGGCTAATATAATCCACCTGGATAAAGTTTTATTTTGTATTAAACATTTTGAGCTCTTTGGATACTTGTTCTATTTTCATCGAATTCATAAAGATCTTCTTTCTTGTGCTTCACACTGGTAAGAACAACAGGACTATGCTATTTGGTCATAGTTTATTTCTGATTTTGCTAGAGGTATTTGTTCTATAGGATAAATTTAGATTTCTTGGGCTCAATTAATTCCTAATCTTATCTTGCTGTTCTGAAATTTTATCTTATTTTATATTACTTATTTTGCTCCAGATTATTGACAGCATTGTAATTAGGCCTTTTAGGTTGCATAATAGATTAATAATCTTTTCTAAACCGAATAATCTCCTATTATGCACTACTTCTGCCTCTTTTCTTTGCCAGATTAACTATCCTATCTATTTTTACTTGGTTCTACTCTTCGTTCATATATAAATCAAGATCAGAATCTTCATCAGTTTTGAATGAGTCTTTTTCGAAGATTTACTCCAAAGGAGTGTTTCTACCATTTATCTATAAGTTTTCTCTCTGAAAAGCTGGTTAGTAGAGCATCACACTCTCTGATAATTCATCAAGTTCATCATCATCCATCTTGCTAATCCCAGTAACTTATTTGAGTATAGAATTTTCTCTGATAAAAGGTTAGTCACTATTTTCATCGTTTTTGTTGATTTAAAGCTTATTTTCTATTGAAACATTAGTCCTCTCCTTTAGCAAGCACTCTTGAGCAGCACCATCTATCAAGAACAATTTGATAAAGTTCTTAATGTTGTCAGTAGCGTTATCATAGTCATACTTTTTATCCTCAATAGATTTCAGTAAACTTTCACGTTTAGCCATATGACTTAGGTAATCAAGAACCCTTTGAAGATTAAATGGTAAGTAGCTTGTACTTGTTGCTGAACCATAAAGCTTTTCCTGAGATTACCTTGCTTTAGTTATGATCTTTCTGAATACTTTGTTAGCATGTGGGTTAGAGGAGAATTCTTTGAATTCCTCCAAGGACAATGCCCCTGACCCATCCTAATCCACAACGTTGAATAGTCTCTTAATGTCGTTGCGAGTAATATCTACTCCATAGTTTGTGAACATTTAGTATAACTCCTCCATTTCTATGGTTCCAGATTAGTCAGCATCGAATTTATTGAAAACATTTTCTATCTCTCTATCTTGTACCATTTACATCTTGTTTAGTCTATACTGATTCTTAGCCTAAAGATTCCTGGTTTAGATCCATTTTATCATTGTAGCATTATTTACTAGCTTTTTTTCTTTTAGATTTTATGGTGGGATTGAGACAGATGATGATTTTTTGTGGTACTTCAAGAGAGACCTTAGATTTCTATTTTCATAAGCAGTCTCAGTTTTGAGAACAGAGACATTTTCTGTTGGTAGATGGTACTGGTAGTCTTGAGAATAGTTTTTCATTGATTATTCCTGTCCGTAAAGTCTCATTAATACTTAGAATTTATTTGTAAATAATTCGTTAGTATCATTATTGTTTACTCAACATTCTTTGAATATACTATCCATGGGGTTTTGGGGTTTTGGGGTTTTGGGGAGAT